GAGCACTTTGAAGCAAGTGATTTCCAGTTCCATGTACGAATGGCTCTTCATTTACTGTTTGGCTGTAGCTTTTAATCTAAATCCTTAGGCAAATGGGGACCATTTGTTGTTCCTCTCTTAACATGTGCTGATAGCATAAGGCTTCCCGGGAGAGTAAAGGAAGCCAAGTTATGGGCATCTCCCCTTCTTTGTTTTGTCTGGATAAAAATTCATTGAATTGAGAACCTATTTTACATTGTTTTGTGGATCATTCCTGTGGTAGGGGAAAAGCAGAGCATTACTCCAGCACTTCTAAGGCTTTTCCATAGAATCGTTACATAAATTGTACACTGTGCCAATGTTTCTGGGCTTTGGGGGGACTTTGGAACTCCATTAGCATAACGAGTGGAATTTTATTTAGTTTGACTCATACTGGTTTATAAAGTTTGGTACTTGTGGTTTTGTGGAAATTCAGTATGTCCTTGGTATTTATTATGGGATTCAAAAAGATTTATGTGCAGTACTTAAGCAACATGGGAGAAGTACTCCTGAACTAGTTTTTAGTAGAGAAAAAAAATCCTTCAATAGAGAGAGAAACAACAGACAACTGCTCAGACCAAAGGTCTATCTAGTCCAATATCTTTTTTCTACCAATCGCTACTGGTGAATGCCTGGCAAAAAACCCCAAGAACAGAGCAAACGCATAGTATTACTTCCCCTGTGTAATCATTCAGTATACTGAATACATCCTGTATATTCAATAATCTGTGGTTCAGAAGATGTATCTATTGTATTTAATAGCCAGTTTTGTTTCATGAATTTCTTTAAGTCAGATTTTAACCCGTTTAGCATCCAGTACATGTTTTGGCAAACAATTCTTCAATTACTTTACATGGTTTGAAGAAGTAGCTCCATTTTTTGTCTTGAATCTGTCTTTTGGAACCTTCATTTGATGTCTCTGTATTCTTGTATTAGAAAAAAGAGCATTTATTCCCTTTTCATGATTTATTCCCTCATGATTGTCACATGGAAAAACTGTTCAGCTATGTGGTTTAAATCAAATCAAGATTGAGGTGGTTTATTGGTTTATTAATAACAGTTAGCCAGCAATCAACCAACTACATGTTCAAGATCAAGACTGGCAATACAGCAGGGAACACCACCACTAGACATGTATAAAATGTTAATAAGCACCTGCAAATTTCTAAGCACACACTAATCTCAGAAGTTTTAATCCCCTGCACACTCTCACGTACATGTTCACAGTTATGTATGCACATACTGCCTTTTGTAGCAGGCATGAATTGCAAGCACATACCCCATTTTCAGGGGCAGGGTGCAAGTCTGCTCTTGGCAGACACCTCCTGTTAGAGATGAGGGTGCTCTAGATTAGTTTTAAATATGCTGTAGCACAACTCTTATGCCTGCAGAATTTCAGCAGTTAAATTTTGCCATTGTATCTGAAAATATCAAACTATTTTTTCAGATAATAGTTTTCTCTGCATAATTGATACTGAATAACAAAAATTGCTTTCTCCAAACTACAGAAAATGGCTGGTTTTCATTCACGATTTTTTGTCCCAGTGTTATTCTGCTTATTCTTTAGAATGGGACCTTTAGGAATCACACAGAAAAGGAAATTTAGTTTTTGTTTCCATAGCTTTTAGTTTCCCCCCCTAGCTTTTCTTAGCTTTAGCCATCAAGATAAATTTTAGCTTACTTTCTCCAAAGATGACACTACCTTCTAGATCTTACCTCTCAGAATAGCAAACAGTCTTTTATTTTTATTAATGGAATTTGTGATGTGAATCTAGTAATTTGACAAAAGTGTTGTTAAATACTCTAAAACAAATGAGAGTGATTAAAGGCAGAGCATCTTTTTAAATGCGAATGGAATTGTTTCTTAGTGCATCTAGGCTGTATTTGTGAACTGTACTCACCTGAACTTCTGGGTATTGTCTTTAATTTTATAATGGGTATCATGGGAAGCAGAATCAAGCTCAGAAATAACAGGATCTTCAGACAAAAGAATGTTGTCAGATATGTAAAAAGGCAAAAAAGGGCAACATAAATGGAAAAGGGCAAATCCTCAACTCATTTCTAAATGTGCAATTCAAATAACTGACAGTGTTTAGTACTGTGGCATTCTATGAGCAACTGAGCAAATAATTTGCTTGCACAAATGGCAAACCTATAGTTCTGTCCTCAGTTAAGTTCTGAGCGTGTTTGTGATCTGAAGTCACTCACTGAGTTGTAGTGTTTTTATACACTAATTCATATGTTTTAATGGAGAAAGGAAAGGTTTGCTTTTGCATATTGAAAGGATTTTGGAGAGATCGCTTTGGCATCAGAAAATTGCACTGTTGAGAGCTACAGAGGCTTTATTTTTCTATTACAAAAAGAAAAAGCAAGTACACTTAATCTCTGTCTTTTTTAAGGATTTGTGATGCTGCCCATTGCTTCTTTGCTTGGCAACCTCATGCTATAATAATTTAAACAAATATTAATACTGTTATCTCAAACTCCCATACTTAGTTATGAAAATATTTATTATCAGGGCCCTGAAATGTCAAGTGTAAAGATATTTACCATCCTGGCTTTCCTAAATGTCCCAGCATTGAAAAATCAGACACGACTCTGCTCTTTCTGTCTGAGGTGGGTTGCAGGGCAGTCTGCTGGAATGTCCCAGGTTCAACGTTATGGGTTTAGAGCTTTGTAATTTCTCATGTGTACCCCCCCCTTTCACACAGAGTTGCATTTGTGGTTTGTGTGAAATGTAAAGTATTTGTGGTTTCATATTGAGAAT